TTTAACATGAGTGTTTCACTGCAGGTGGATAAAAGTTCAGTTGACTGTGAAGTCACTGTGTGTGTTGAATGGAATTATAAAAGGATGGAATTAACTTACAGCATGTCTTATTTTCATGGTAATGAAAATAGTAAATGATGCATAACTGAAACAATTTTAAATTCTACCCATTTCATTTTTTCCTCTATTCTTAAAATTGCCATACAAAGGACACATTTTAACTGAGATTTTTACATTATATTCCAACTGTTTTAGAAAAAAAATTAAAATAAGGTGTATCTGACACCAGTTAGTGCAATGTATTTCAGCAAGTTCCATAAGGTTGTATTTACTGATCTCAGGCCTGCAAAGCTATTGACCACTTTCCCTTTATTAAAAGTCAAGGAAGACATGGAAATTTGTGGCAAAGTAAGTACTATAATATTGCACAATACTGGATGATTTATGAAACACCTTCTGCACTCATTGTTGCTGCTCATATTCTAACAAACTGACTCAGAATCAGCAATTTTCAGTCACCTCTGAACTCTATTTTTTGAATTTTAACTTCTGTGGCAGGTACTGAAAGAAAGAACAAAGCAATCTATTTCTGCATTGCAAACTTACTTAATTTTCAGTTAAATAATTTAATTATATGGTCCCTTTGATGGCAAAAAAAAGCAAGAAAATGAGCAGGTATGATATTCTCAATTCAATATACATTTTTTGCAGCATTTCTGCAACACAACTCAGTTGTTGTCTCCCATCCCTCTTCTCTTAGTTGACCTAGGTATGTCCTGTTTAATGTATATGCTTTAGGAGGTGATACAGAACTGGGCTTCCAGAGATCAATTTCAATGTATCTGTTATATTTGACTGATTTTTTTCTGGTCAGTTGTGACACTAATTACATGTGGAAGGAGGAGTGTTTGGGAAATTTGGAAAAATATCAGGAAAGTGGGATCAACAGATATGACAATACAGATGCCTGTATCTCTGCCTGCTGAGAACTTCATCCTCCACTCTACACTGTCTTCTCTTGGTCTCTTTTCCTCCTCCCATTCAGTGACTGCTGTGTCAGCCTCCTGGGCATTGAGAAACCTTTGATCTAGGTAATTTTTCTCTCCCATTTGTAAATGACCTGCAAGGTACCTTCATAAGAAAATCCTGATAATGTCACAGCACTCACAGGTCATCAGAGGTGGTGGTTTTAAGAGAGTTTTTAGGAAAGGGCTGACAAATTACACAGATAAAATGGGCCATTGTGGTCATCCTTGCTGACTTCATGCTCCAGAATTTAGTCTCCAAATATCTATGCATCAAGGTTTAGACCTGCTACCAAGTAAATCTTACAGAATCTTTAATCCTGAATTTTTGTCCTAAATCATAAAAAGCTTATGATGTCTTCAGATAGAATTTGTTGCATCTCAGCCACGTATACACATTTATTCTGAGAATTAATTTTAACAGTAGGAAAGGAATATTATCCAGATGACAAGATATAGAACCATTTTGCAGTGGTATTATATTAATATTATTCAGCAATACATGCACATATGACTTCCAAATATGCTTTATCTTTCTCCCTCTCCTTTCCTATGGCTGTCTTCAAATCATTGTTTATTCTCATACCCATTCATCCTCTTATTTGTTTGGAAGTAGACTCTCAAAAGTATTATCAAAACATGTGGACACAGGAGGTTGAAAGTGTGAGGACCTAAGATTAACTGTGTGGAGGACTAATGAAAACGACAGCATTTGACTGGGAAAGCTTTGTGTATTTCCTCTGCAAAGGTAAGCAATGCTGTTATTGAACCTTATGCAGAAAATGTGTTTCTGTTGGGGCTCCAAAGTTACTGCGTCAAATTTGAAAGCCGAATTCTAATGTTAAAGATGGAAGAATTGTGAATCTCAGTTCATTCATAATTGTCATGGTGCTACTGAAACTTCCACAGCATTCACATAATGGACATTTCAGATGCATGCTTGGCACTGTGTTTCCATCCCTTTGGCTAGAGTAAGATTTGCTCTAACCCTCAGGTTTTTGTTTTTCTTAACTTTTGTACTGGATGTTACATATCAATCCTCAATACAAAAAGATACATAAAGTATCTACGAAAGCTCTCATGCTCTTAGATTATCCTTTGGTACAAACTGATATATAAAGGTGCACACAACCAACTTCAGCTTCAAAATCTTACAACTGCTTTTCTAGTCCTTCCTACTGGTACCTATGCAAATGCTCACACAAGATTTACTGCATGGGATCTGGAAAAGCCTCAGCTTAACTCCCTGCGCAGAACTGCTCCCAAACTTAGTAGGAATCTTGTAACTTCAAGAGAATGTGAACCATGAGAAGCTTCTGGTCAAGATGTAACTGTTGCTTAGGAGAATGTTTTTCAACTTCTCTAGACATTAGCAGGATTTTAAGTACAAGGGACATTTTAACAACATTTGTCTTCCCATCTCAAGGTGGTTTTTATATTGAGTTGACATAAATTGGATTTGAATTGCTGCTCCTTATTAAGTAACAAAATCTTTCTCAAGGTCAGGTAAGAAATTGTAAGATAATCAAGTGGATGCAGGAATCTGCTTATCGGCTCACCATCGGTTCCAACCCAGTATTTTTAGGATATATTATTATGGCTTTTTTTCTCCTTTTTGTTTTTCTGAGCAAAAAAAATGGATGAGCCAATGAAAACTGTCATGCCTAGGGGCATTAAAATTTTGCTAACTGGATCAAAACTAGGAGGTAATTTAATTCTGTGCTGTTACTCACATAGTAGATGGCTAGAGCTCACCATAGTTAACTATATCAGCATGCTGATGAATTGCTCTCATTTAAGTAGCACTCATCACAGCAGTTAATAGTCCACCAGAAAAGTATAATAATAGTATAGGAATACAATAAATAACAAGAGTGCATTTGATTGGCCAGGAATGAATATCTGCTATTCAGGGAATAGGAATTTGCTTATACTGCAATTATTGAGAAATAGCCCAGCATTAATTACAAAAATCAAGTTTTCCCAGCAGATCAGTGTACAAAGAAATGAATGTAAATAAAAAATAAGGGTCAGTTTGATGAGTGTTTCAGCAATCAATTTAAAACAATTCTTTCAGTATAATTATACATGTGTTTTAGCTAGAAAAATTTAATTAAATGACCCTACCCTGAAAGAGAAAAATAAGTGCACTGTTCATCTGGAACACTCTTATTGAAAGTGATAGCATGACACCATTAGGAAACTCAACAAGACCATCTACAGTCATGCATTAAGAGAAGAAGTCTGAACATCTGTTTCCCGCTATTGAATTCACAAAAGGAGCTTCGCTGGGCAGGGAATAAGTGAACAAACAATAGTTGGAGAAGGCTATCTCTGACATTTAACAAAATGTTGAAGTATCACAAAAATGACGTAACGTGAGAATGAAATGTCTGAAATAATGGTGTGCTAAAAGTTACCTTGGCAAATGAAGCACACATAACAAGAACAAGCCAAACCTCTACCCATCACTCTTTAAAATGTGTACAATGAATGATCAGTTTATGAACAGCATACTTTTTTATTCAAGGTGGCATGAAATGGTTTTGGAGAAATAAGCAATAAAGAAAGTTCCACCAAATATTTCTCTAGCCATTAAAAAAAAAAAAAAAAAGTGACAAATATAAGGTGTGTCTATAAGTGTTAAAAAATTCCAGACATAATAGTCAAACTAAAGAAAAAACAGAATTTTATCTTGGATGTGACATTTTCTTTTCTTCTTGTCTTTCCACTTCCCCAGCCACGAGTCTTGGAAAGGGAGCAATAATAAAAGATAAATAGAACCAAGAATCAAGTCGCTGCCAAGGGCTGTAATACAACACCTCAGCATTTCAAGGGTAAATCAGTGTGAACTGCGTTTGCCGTCCCTCTGAAAAAACTAAGTATTAAACTTCCGTTCAGTCAATGCGGACTGCTCAAGGGTAGGAAATCGGTGTCAGAGAGGAAAAAAAAAAAAAAAAAAAAAAAAAGGAAGAAAGAAAGAAAGGGGGGGAAAAGGAGGGGGGAGGGGGGAAGTGTAAAAAAAACCCGAAACCCAAACAACAAACCAAAAACAACACCGATCACAAAAAAAAAAAAAAAAAAAAACAAAAAACCCAAAAAAAAAACCCAAAAAAAAACCCCCCAAAAACCAAAAACCAACCAACCAAAACAATAACAACAACAAAACAACAGACAAAACCCCAAACCATCCAAACAAAACCAAAGCCGGGTTTCCCAAAGAGAGCATCGAGCTGAGCGGACAGAAGTATGAGGAGAGGCAGCGCGGCTGCTCCCAGCCCGCCCAGCTGTGCCCGGGGCACGGCGGCGGTGCCGGAGGCGAGAGGGCAGCGAGGGCAGCGCCCGGAGCCCTGCCTGTTCCCCCGGCCGAGGTGGGAGCCCTGCCTGTTCCCCCCAGCCGAGGTGGGAGCCCTGCCTGCCCGCCCGGCCGAGGTGGGAGCCCTGCCTGTTCCCCCCAGCCGAGGTGGGAGCCCTGCCTGTTTCCCCCCAGCCGAGGTGGGAGCCCTGCCTTGCTGCCCGCCCCAGCCAAAGTGGGAGCCCTGCCTGCCTGCTCCCCCCTCCCTGCCAAGGTGGGAACTCTGCCTGCCTTCCTGCCCGCCCTGGCCAAGGTGGGAGCCGTGCCTGCCTCTGCAGCGGGGCTCGCCACGCGGGCTCCTTTAAATTGAGGGCGTTTCGTGTGTCTCGCCGGCTGCTCTCGAGTTTAAAGAGAAAGGGGCCCGAGCGGAGCGGGAAGGTGATCTTTGCCCGGCGGCTCTTCGGTGGGGAGTAGGTGCTTTTGTTTCCTTGCTTCCCTAGTCCTGGGGAGGCCGCGGGGGTACGTCGGGGGAGCAGCAGGGCTCGGCGCGGTTGGGCTCGGCGGCGGGCACCGCGGGGGTGGCTGCTGCCGCTGTCTGGTAGTGGGGGTTCGCGGGGTTTTGGTGTGGATTTTTTTCCTCCCGCTCTCTGACCGTGGGAGTTTGAAAGCATGGCGGAGGCGGAATGAGAATGTGCGTGGGTCTGTGGCGGAGGTCCACGCGTGGTTCTCCCGGGGCTCGCCGCGGTGCGGATGCGGGTTGCTGGCGGGCTGCCCTGGGCATCCCGCGGAGGGTCGGGGGCTGCGGCGGGTTTTCTTGGTCCTGCCCCCGAGGGGCAGACCTGGGAGCAGCGCTTCCAGCACTCATGGCAAAGCCATTAGCTCACTGTGGAGGGGCCCCGAGGAGGACAAACGCATCGGACTCCGCGGCGGGTGAGAGCGGGGCGGGCAAGAAGGGATGGGGGGTGGCTCTTACTCACTGTGCACTCACCCCTGGCCCCAACCTCTGGTTTATCTTTATGGCTTCTCTAGGCAGCCCTGGGGTGCTGGTAGTGCGAGAGGAGGAGGGCGGGTTTGTACGTCCGCAGCGCCCGCGGGAAATGCGATCGGTCCGGCGGCGGGGCTGCGGCAGCGGCGGGCGGGAGGCGGCCGGGCTCCGCTGCAGCCCGGCGCTCCCAGCTCGCCCCTCCGCCGCCCCCCGAGGCAAGAGAACCAGACCCTTCTTGTGCCAAAAGCCGCCCTTGGTTAGCCCAGGACTCTTGGTTTCCTCTTCAGGCTCTAAATTCAAATCTCCGAGGAGGGAGTTTCGCTTTTAAGAAGGCTCTGTTTCTTCACTAACGTTCTACGTGTAAGGAATGAAGGTTGCTGTCCCTGTCTAGGGTTGCTGTGTGCATCCTGGGGCAGTGGTGTCATCTGAGCCTGCTGTCTCTGCACGCTCCTAGGGGAGCTCAGCTCCTGGAACACAGGACGGATGCATTGCAGGCTCCCCGGTGCAGTTTCAACATACTTCTGACATTACTTTGCAATGAAAAATGAACGAATTACTATTGGTTTTCCATGTGCATTATGTGTTTTTTGTTTCATTGCAAATTAGATGCTGTGCCAAGTGTAACAGTTTTGTGAAGGTTTTGTGACATGGATTGTGATTTAATAGGACATTTCTAAATAGGACATTCCTGAATTCATGCTGTACGGTGCCATAAGCCATCTATCAGGATTATACTGCCCTTGTTGGAAGCATGGTCAAAATTATATGAAGGTGGTGAAGTGCTGAAAAGTCAATACTATCCTCAAGTTCTAGCTGCCACTTAATTTATCCTGCTAACTTATTTGGTCACTTTATTTATTCTACCTACAGTCTTATTTAAATTGGCACAATTACTATGCACAGTACCTCTTCAACTCTACTTTACACCTTTCAGTTGAACTTAACACTAATTTCAGGACAGGATTTAGAAATGGAACATCATAATTAAAAGCAAAGCTGATGATACAAAGCTTGTAGTACTGTCTGCATAGTGTCCTTACAGCAAGAGACACTCCTACTCTTTGTGAGATGTGTTATGTCCGTTTAAATATATATTTTATTTGCTAACTTGTGGAGGTTGAAGCTTCTTTTGTACTAATTTTTAATGGCCATTTTGCTTAGACAATCAGAAAAACATACAGTAAGAGCCATGCAAAGAAGAATCAGCTTCAAAGGTTTTGGACAGTGTTGGGAATCAGGCTCAGTTTTCAGAAGGTACAGTTTCATGAGCAAGTAGATATTGAATGTTCCTAAGCAAATCTTTGCTTTAGGAGCATTCAATCTGTCTGTGTGTGAAAGACTTTCTGCTTGCCTTTTGGTAAGGGAGACATTATCAAGGCAATAAAATTGTTTCTACTAGGCATAGTCCTGAAAATGTCTAGGCTTCCGATAATTAGAACAGATTTTTAAGTGCAGTTAACTTTGTTTTGGTCTGGCCTCAGACCAGGGGCCTTACAGGTATGAGGTATCAATAAGCTGTTGTGCCAGGTTCTCCATCAGACCCTCGAAGTACTGCACACACTTGTAATGTGCATAAATAATGTAAAGGACAAAGGCTTCTTGTGATTAAAATGTACTCTATCAGTGTAGATCACATTTTGATGCAAGCCATGAAAAAGTCTAATTGATTAATGAGTTTCAGATGGTGGTTCCCCTTCAGTGCCCCTCCCCCTGCTCCTAATGTACAGTATGTTCCAAGTTAATCTGGGAAAACTCAGAAACTTTGGGCTAAATTGGTTGTGGTATAGTTTATAAGGATAGTAAAATATCTAGAAAAATTAAATTTCCTTATAAAGATATGCTGCTGCATTTGTCAGCTTATGTTTTATCTGCTTGTTTATAGTAGTGAGCAAAGTTAAGATTACATGTAAGTTACCTGTATGATAAAGCACACAAGAATGACCTGTTGTTTCTTATAGAAGGGAAAGCTCTGCAAATAGCTCTTGAAGAAGAAATATACAAGGTAGTAGCAGAATGACTTTAAAAATGATTGTGTTTGTTTTTATGTATGTAAAAGGGCAAAAGGAGAGTGATTACTCTTCTGTAGTAAACAGGAAAATGGAGGTGGTAAAGATTGACTAAGTAACATCTAACAGTGAGTGGCAAGTCTGAGTTTTTTCTTACTGCTTCTTTTAGTCCATTTTTAGCATTTCAAGAAAGGGAGCTTTCACAGTCTCATTTGGGAAAGTCATTCCACTGTCTAGCAGATCTCACCATGGGGAACAGTTTCCTGACATTAAAAAATGAAAAGTTTTTAGTTCTTTTTGTGGCTCTCAAAGGAAGGCATTCATATTTTCCCTCTTTCTGCTTGTATGTGTGTATATTCACCTATGTATATACATGTGGAAAAACAAGAGCAACCTTTAGTCTGTGAACTGATGTTATACTCTCCAAATCTGAAAAATATGTCAACACTGAGACAGGAAAACTGAAGTAAGTTTTAAAATGTGAGTGTATTTATCCTTGGTTCTGCCATGTCTATAAAACTGGCACTTGATGATGTGAAGGTGGTGATTGCAATATGGGTCCCAAATTGTGGGCAGCTTCATTTCTACTTGCACAATTATGCATTTTGTTCTGCAAATTAATCTGTTTACGAACACTGAATCTTAAGCCTTTTTTGCATTCAGCTTGCTGTTACAGTTAGTGAATGGTGCACGCAGTCCACTTAAACTCTAGTAAAATTTCCAAAGTTCTGTTCTTTTCCATCTGCTTGAGGTGATTAGAATTAGCAGGGAGATCCAGCAGAGACCCTTGCCAGATACACTCATGAGCTCCGTTCTGGCGTTTGATCCTCTGTCTCCTCTCCTTCCAGGCTGGCTGCTTTCCAGTAGCATTACCTTCTCTCTAAGACAGCAGGAGATTGTCTGTATTTATAGCTGATACCCCTCTGTCAAAGCCAATGTACAGTCTACTGCTCAAGTTCCAGTTCCTTCAGAGAAAAACTTGCTGATCTTGTCTAAGTTGCTGTCTGTTTCCTCTATCACTGACAGTAAAGCAGTTGCACAGTTGTGTGTATGATGTTTAGTTTCTTCTGCAACTGGTGGCTAATATGCTTCCTCAGTCATGTTACAACAGATTTCATTGCACAAGCTTAAAGCCTGCATATTTAATCCTGATAAGATTTATGAAAGAGAGTCTTTGAACCCAGGGTCCAAGGCAGTGTTATAACATCTTCTGTTCCAGCTTTGTAGAGCAGCTAGGCCACTGAACTGGCATGTGTGCAGATCTTCAGTCCTGGGTAGCTCTGGTTTGGCTGCCAACTGCACAGAGCCAGTCAGTGAACTTGGCCTGGGTGGGCCAAGCATGATGTCTGTGCGCAGTGTCCCTGTCAGATGTTATGATGCAAAGGGCCCATCGTGTAGGACCCTTGCATCAGAGGTGATTTGACTGGTCACTATAGGGAATTCTGCATTTGCTTTGTGATGCTTTTTTCCCCTCCACGGACACTTTTAACTTGTTTTCGTTCTTTTCTAACTGAATGCAAAGAAAAAGGCTTGTTTCACTGGATACTTAACTTCCATGCTAATTCTTAAGTCAAGTCTTGAAGAGCAAGTGACTCAGCAAGACTTCTTCATTCCTGACCTGGAAGGATTGTATGTGGGAGCAAGCTGAAAGAAATGGTTCAAGCCCCTTTTTATTTGAGAATTAATGCACATTTAATTGGGAACCAGGTTGAAGTGACAATGAAACTCATGTGGTACAGAGGGCACTGCACAGCTAGCAGCTACTCACTGTAAGCTGTTATGCATATATGCTGGAACTTGATGGGTAATTTGGAGTAAAAACATGTTGGTTTATATGATTATCTAGCAGGCTGGAGCACATGTATTTTCTTTGTATGTATATCTATGCATACGTGCAAGCTTTTATAGATACTTTTTTTTTCCTCCCTTTTTGTACTTGGTTGAAGAAAATAATCACAATTTTACAGGTAAGGAGGGTGGTTGGAATAGGAAAGGGAATTGAATCTGGGGATCTGCAACTGTAAATGCTTCATTGTGCATCCAGTTTTACTTTCTAGATTAAACAGTCTTTGCCTCCTGTGTGTTTTGAATACAGTGTATCATTCTTGAATCTTTTTCCTACCCATTAACCCCAACAAAAGCCAGTAGAAACAGAAGATCACTTGTTTGATTCTCATTGCTTTCACCTGATGATCACTGATAACAATCATCAGATAGTGTAAGGTTATGCTGCTGGCATAATACAAGCAATGAACTGCAATAAACAGATAACTAAATGCACTACTGTAAAGCAAAATAAGAACTCCACTGTTCAGTAGGAGCAAGCAGAGAGAAATAGGACCTTTTAGTGAAATGAATCTGATACACATTTCTGGGTGTACTGTAAACCATCCCACACTGAATTCTTCATCTAGACAATAAGGCTAAGAATTTGAGACATCATTCTCTTATTGAGAGAGGCTGAAAAAAGGGTCGTGCTACATAAATATGAACTGTAACAAAACAGGATGAAAAGTAGTCAAAGACTGTTCCTCATCTACATTCTGAATAGTAGGGAAGCAGTTGCTTTAAAGCATTTAGAGGTGAGTTTTGAAAATGCTTCTGCATATCACGTCAGCCTCAACAGTTTACAGAGAAGTGTAACATTCTATAAAATATTTGACATGTTTGTGTTGGCTGGTTTTAAACAGCTGTATATATGGTGATTTGATGTTGCTGTTAGAAAGTAGTGAGATTAGGAAACCCAATATTTTTTGGCTACTTCGTTCGTACTTTGTCTGCCAAAAGGAAAGGATGAAATAGTTGTTGGGGCCAGTGACTTGCCTCAGCTGTGGTGATATATCCTTGAAAGCTGCTGTCTACCTCTGCTGCAAGTTAGTCCATTCCTCTGACCACATTCCTCACTGATAAATTGTCAACAAACTTTTCAGTTCACTGAAAAATAAATATATTAAGACATTTTAAGGAAGAGAATTGAAGGTATCTGGGTGATGCAGCAAGGGCCTGGCCTTTACCCCAGGAAGAATCTTCAAACAGAACTTGAAGGAGCTCAATACTCTGTTGCTGTCACCGTCACAGAACTATCACATTTTGGCTTCTTCGTGGATCCCAGCTGCTGTGTGATGAAGTTCTAATAAGTATCTGCTAGTACAACTGGTGAAGTAGATGACTTTTTATTGAAACTTGGGTACTTCAGTACTGAAGTATTGGGAAAGCTTATGTTGAATTTAGCAAGTTCAGTAGTGATCAGTGTTTGCATGAAGGATATTGAAAGTTTCGGATGCTTGCAGTTTGATAACTGACCTCCAGTGTAACTTGTAGAGTTTGTGGCATGAGATACCCTGCTCCTTAAAAGCTGAGTTTTAATCTTTTAAGAATTAATTTTAAAAGTTCAAGGTAGGAATTTTGTGGATTTTACTGAAGTGTAGGGCAGTTTTTCAGAAAAGTAGTGGAGAAGTGAAAAATTTTGGGGTTTTTTTGGGAATGAAATCAAAGAAAATTTACACAGAGGTAAGGTTGGTTTGTATGTGATTTATCTGTGATTTTTCAGGCTCTTCATCAGTATTAACTCTCATTCCTCAGTCCTCACTTTGCATGCCCACTTCATAAATTAGTGCATACATTATTTTCATTCAGAGCTACTATTTCAAGCAGACCTAGTCCCAGTATAGAGATGCATTAATCATTTTCACCTTCTAGAGACTTGTCACCTGTCTGTCTGGTTTTTGTTATCTTTCCAGTTTCTCATTCTGAGGATGTGTCTTATGAAAACTGCCTTAAACTCAGAATACCCTTCTTGTCCCTCTTTTTGCTTCTTACTACCAGAGTTACTAAGAGACTGAAGCACCCTTGCATCCTCCAAAATCTTTGTTCTCCCGCTTTTCTTCTCTGAATGAGTCTCAAAAGTTTCTGGGGACTCAACAGCCTGATTGCTGAGTTGGGTCAGTATGAAATATACTTCAAGACAATGCTGTGTTTTAGAGACAAACTGAAATAACATCCCTATTCCCCCAATTCTCTACTCTGTATTTCCACAGAAACAGGCCTGAAGTGTAAATAGGCTGCAGTGCTTCTTCCACAGACTCTTGTGGAAGCCCAGACTGCTTCCATGTAGCTGTTTAAGAAGCCTTCCTTCTGTTTTGTCTTGTCTTAAAGAAATGTAGCTTCGAGACCATAGAATTCCTTCAGCCCTAGCAGTGTCAGCAGCCTGTATTGTGTTGGATGACTGTCAGCCATATCATAATATTGGTGATTAATTAGCCCACAGAGCACTTCATATACATGGTCTTGGAAGTGATGAAGTAGGGTGACAGAAAAGGGTCTTGCCTGTTGTTTCCTTCTTGACACAACCCAGATCAGGGTGTGTGCACCAATTTTTACCCTTCTAGCAGGCCAGACCCTGCCTAGAGTTTGATGATTAATATAGCTCTGAGCATCCAGGAAATGTAAAATAACAATACATTGAGGTTAGAAGGCACCTCCAAGTGTCATCCAGTCTTCCTCCCTCCACAATGCACGCATGAAATGTGAAATTCTTCCCAGTGAAGAGGTGCAGGGTCTAACTGGTTCCTTTAGTGAAATAGTTCTGCTTTTTCTGTTGTATTTTTCCAATTTGTATGTAAAGAGAAACAAATTGCAGGATTTCAGGATTTTCCCAAATACTTAGATACATACACTCAGGAATAAGAATTTTTTATTTATTTTACCACTATCATTGCAGAGGTAATTCAAGAGAAAAAAAAAAAAAAACAAACTTATTTCACTTCTGGCTCTCACTGTATCAGTGGAGGTTATAGACCCCAGAAAGTGGTCAAAATTATTTCAAGGCTCTTTCTGGAAAGCAAGTATGTGATGGATACTTGATCTTTCCCATATAATCTTTGATGACAGCTGTGTCAGTTATCTGTCTTGCCTCTGTTTCAACCCAAAATGAAGCAGTGATTTGAAAGAGTAATTTATGTGGTTCTGAGTAACTTAGAAAAACTTTAAATATACTGTCATTGAAATTCCTTAGCTGTTGGTAGGTTCTAGTCTGAATCAATCTGTTTTGAGAATGACAGTCCAGATTGATTTTTGCAGAGCTAACAGTCCAAGTCTTCTCCCTCCCCTCCCTTGCAGCCTGCCCTAAATGAGTAGGTATGATTTGGATTTAATTAACCAGGAAGCCATAAATCCAAGCTGATGTTTTTACAAAGTCAGTTTCACAACAGAGCTGTGCATAAGTTAAGTACTTTAGTCTGCTTTAAAAAGAAACTGCCTTCAAAGAAATTTTGATACATAAGGATTTTTTTTTTGTTAGAAAAATGTGAAATCTACTCATAATTCAGAAATATGTGTTTATACAAGAGAATAAATCTTTTTTATGTATGTTTTTGCTTCTCCCCAACTGAAAAAATTTGTCTAATTTCAGTAAGAAGTATATTTGTAGTGAAAGTTGTGCCTTATCTCAAGGGCAAGCTAAACTTCAGGACTTGGGGTGAGGTACTGTCAAAAAGAGCTTATGCAGACCTTTTTGCAAACCTGGAGTTTAGTTACACAGAGTAGGGTAAAAAATGCTGGAGTATTTTAATGCAAGTATTAAGATATCCCAAATACCATTGCATACATTTGGAAAAGTCAGTTACAGCACAATTTTATGGAAAGGATTTTTTTTCTTTTTTACATTTAATAAATATTGTCTTTTTTGACAAAGAAATTTGTTTCAGTGTTTTTGTTTTTCAGGCCATAATGGATAGCATAATAAATTGTTCATTTTTTTTCTGCTGTTGTTTTTAAGGTCACAAATATCTCTTACCTGGTGTGAAAGATATGCAAAGGACAGAGGGAGAGTATTTTCAGATTGCTAAATTGAAGGCAGTTGACATGTTTTACTACAATTGGTGTGGGACAGGCAGTTGAGAATAGACAGAGGACTCTTCCTTAAGGGTCTCACATTCACTGAATGTCTGTATAGTGCCACCAGACCTTGTGTCTGCTGGTTGGTGTGGGCTGCAGCCTACCAGGCAAGGAAGGATTTCAACTCATCGCTACAACTGCTGCAAGATTCTTTCAGAGAGGGAAAAATAACCTTGCACGTTTCTGCCACAGGTGGAGAACTAGCCCTTCAGACACAGAGACAGGTCCAGTGGTTCTGACAGCAGTGGTTCCTGTGACTGACAGCACTTAATACATCATGTGTGCTAAAGATTAGTTGTCTTACCTGAAAAGTTTCAGTAAGTCATCACTGAAGCAGAGGAGAATTTGGGAAGTGGCAAGTGTGAGTGACCAACACTAGCTGTTCTGCTGCTTTGTGAAGCAATAATGCTACTGAGTCAATATATTCAGTGTAGTCTTTTCTTTAATAATTTTGAAGCTGTAGAATACACTGTTTCCATTTGGTTACAGCATTTATTAATTGTTCATAAGTTTGCTGTAGGAGTGTAATTTGATTGTTGCCATGTTTTTCCTGAGCACGATCCAAAAATCTCTGGAGCTCTCCAGTTAGTCTGAATTGCTATTGGGTATGGGGCCATAGTGAGTTGTTAGCTTCGTGCAAAATGTTTATTTTCATTTGATTTTAATAATTCCTTGCAGAACATTTTGTTGTATTGGCAACATGTAGGTTGGTGAGTGCAAATGAAGTTAACATTTATTTGTATGATTTAATCACATAAAAAAATCCATTAACAAAACAAAGTTTTGGTCACTAGTGTGTGCAGCCATGTGTTAGATCCACCTCTGTTTGTCTGATATCTGATTTCTTAGGCACATAATTACTTTGTCATTATTGAATCACAAAATGGTTCAGGTTGGAAAGAACCTTAAAGACATCTCATTCCAGCCCCTTCCTCTACCATGGCAGAGACACCTTCCACTGGAGCAGGGTGCTCAAAGACCTGTCTAACCTGGCCTTGAACACTTCCAGAGATGGGGATTATATTCTGGCTGGGATTATCTTCTACAATTCTGAAAATGGAGCATGTGAGACTTTAATTGGTATAATGAATAACTTTTTTTCTTTTTTTTTTTTTTTTCTTTTTACATAATTTTGTCAACAGGGGACGACAAGATAAGCCATGTGCACTGCCCTGAGCCCGAAGGCACGTGGGCCTGGCCTCTCTGACATGCATCAGTACAGTCAGTGGCTTGCAAGTAGACACGAGGCCAACTTGCTGCCAATGAAGGAGGATTTGGCCCTCTGGCTCACAAACTTACTGGGTAAGGTACAATAAGATGGAATGCAGATACTGGGTAGTGTGAGAACTCTTTACACTGTTAGCTGGGAGTTCAGATTTCTTTGTGTTTCAAAAATAAAGTTATGATTACGTAGCAGCCATCATAAAACACAAATATTAGCAAGGTCAGAAAAGCTAACGAGTAATTTGCCTCCATTATGTTTCTGTGAGTAGCATAACTGAACATTATATATTCTGTGTTTAGTTTTCTTTCAAATTTCCTCGATGTATTTTCTGTACCTATACCACTAAGATGAGTGATACTAATTGCTGCCTTCACCTATGTCTTCCATTTTTATTGAGAGGCCTCCTGAAGAGTATGGTGTAGTAACTGTCTTGATCAGAAGGAACCATTTAATAGCTCTTCTCTGACCAAGCAGTTGGTAATTGATAATTGCTGCCCGAGGCAATGCATGCTGAGACTTGTGGTAGCCTGTGCATAGAGGGGTTTGACCTAGCCTAGCTGGCACCTGGAGATTTGCTGGTGTACATCTCGGCGTGTGAGGACAAAACTTGTTGTTGTCAGGAGAGGATGCAAACCAAAACTGATGAAAAAAATCAGGTACACATAAGAAAGAGCAAATGAGATTGTCCCTGGCAGGAAGGAAAGAGACAATACTTTGAGATGTGCAAATTATTCAAGAAGGTGGAATTTAGGAACTGTGAGCCAGGAAATAGTATGTTGTTTGCTGAGAACACTCAGGGAAAAGTGATCTTTTATGTGATCTCTGTAAATACAGAGGATACTAGATGAAATAGAAATGACTTAGTACCTCATGCTAAGGGAGACATGCCACTAATTCCTCTCACTAAATAAAGAGAAAAAAATATTTCAGAAGTTATGTTTACATGGGACTTTAGTTGATGGGATTTTGGAAGAAAATTTGGTGTGCATGGTTTTGGAGGATTTATTTAATTAAAAAAAATCTGAAAATCTGTTCTGGTGAGACATGGGCAGTGTCTTGTCATGGCAAATGCTGTAGTTAATCCATCTCAGTGATATCATACAGTAACAGAGTATATCCCATGTCTTTCATCAGCACATTCTCTATTGCTCTATTTCCTCTTTTTTAAGAGAAGGAAAAGGAAATATCACTTATGTTATGACAGATGTGGTCAATAAGCACAATGTCAATAGAACACAATATTTTGCAGGTAGACAATACCTATATTTCAGTTGAGTTATGAATCCACAACTGCAAAATTGGCAGCTGTTTTAAATGACTTATTTGTGTGGTACTTCCATTTAAATTAATGTGTTTTGAATATAAAATTGTCTATGCAAAAGCAGAACAAAATTCAGAACTTTTCATTCCACTTATCACAAGACACTAATCCAAGTGACTGTTTTTTGAATTGGAAGCAGCACATTCCATTAAGGATTCAATATATTGTTTAAATGTTTTGAACAATGAAGTTTTAGTGATCCACTCTAAAACAAATAGAGGCTTGCTTGCAGTTTGTAACAGAGTTCTCCCGGTGAAAAGTTTAGGAATGAGGTCACTCTTTGAGCAAGAAAGTAGCAACCAGCAGGAGGTTCCGAAATGCCAACTGTAATTAAATATCTGATTTTTCATATGGACACCTAGTTCTGCACTGCAGAACTCAATGGGCACAACCTTTTTTTAATTAAGCAGCATATACAGTTCATTTGCTTAATGTATTCTCCCACACCTTCTTGCACCAAGCTCTCCTTTTCTCAGAGTTTGTGCTGATGAATTGAAATTATAGTGTTTTGTTAGAGTGCTTTGCATTCCTATGTAGGTATTGTTATTCAAATTAATAATTCAATTAAGTTAAAATTCATATTCAAAATAAATGAAGTGTGAATGAAAATAATTATTATTCATAAGAGTATATTAACTCAGAATTCAAATTTTGTTTAATTACTGCATAATTTGGATAAACTTTAAATAGAGAAGGTATGTGTGAGCATGCTGCTGTACAGTAAAATAGAAATGAATATACACCATGCATTTTTCAGCATCCAAAAGGATAGAAGAATATGGAAGGCTTTCCCATATTCAATTCAAAAATACGTGTTTTGAATTAATGGTCAGTAGATCTTTACATGCATGGATGTGCTAGTAACACAGAGCAGATAATATTGTGTGTATCCACATCCTAGCTTGCTGTGTCCATATCTTGTGTGCCTTCATTGTAAGTGGCCTCATTGCAGATTTCTCAATTTATAAAGGAAATTAATATGCATTTCATTTAACTTTTGAAGTTAAATTAAATTTAATTTAATTTCATTTAACATTTAACTTTCATTTAAAATGCATAACATTTAACTTAATTTAACTCTTTATTTCATTTATATTTTTGTCATTCATCTGTACTAGGACTCAACAAGGACACATAATCTTTTCAAAGAAATACAGATTTAAAAAAAATAGTATTTTAGGCAAATACAGGGCTGAAACTCTTTGATCAAGTGATGTTTTTTTAGGAGATTTTTGTGGAGAGACACTTTTGTCCTATACAGTGTTACTGGAAGTTGGAATGGTGATGGTTTTGCAGCAGCATAGCCTGATGTGGGTTCAAAATCAAATTGGAAAACATCATTGGGATATTGCACTTTATAATATGAATGAAGTGTTTTGATATCAGCTAGAATTTGACCTTACCCAAGGGATAAATTAGAAAAGTGAGATACATGGTGCGGCTGGAAAATAACACTGGAAGAATTTTTAATCCTGAGACTTTCCATATTTAATTTATCACGGGCATTGTTGTGGGGATGTTTGCTTAGTAATCACTGGTACTTTTATGTGCACTTTGCTAATTATTTTTTGGAACCATGTCAGAGAAACTCAGAGCTTCTGAGAGGACAGTTCATCTTTACAGCTCCATTGCTGAATAGATTTTAGCTGTCTATACTCTGGGGGATGGAAAAAAGGACATTGCAGATAAACTCCATGTGTCAGATAGGATTAACTCATATGATATTGTACACTGGAGCATTTTCAAAGTGGGACGTGTCAGTGTTGGGGTTTGTCTGCTGGAAAGGAAGATTGCAGCCATGGATTTTGTGTCTCCTGTCCTTGCTTCTCTCTCTTGAGCTTTGGTGTCTCAGTCAAGAGTGGCAGTGACAAAGCTAACGAGATGTGTTAACCCTTGCCAGTCATGATGATCTCTGAGCCTTGTTTCTATCAGGTATAGAGCTAATGAAGCATTTGGGAATGCTTTCACTTCTGACAAACTCCAAATTTGGTAGAGTGTGTATAAAACTTACTTTAGTAGAATGTTCTTGTGGATACTGAAAAGTTCTATTCCACCCTGAGCAAGCTGCATATGGGAATTAGCATGCTTGGGCCACAGAAATCTTCTAGTAGAGGCAAAATGGAAATTTGAAAGATTTGCTTGTCTGCTTTACTCTCTAGTCTTGTTTTCTTTTGTGTGTCTGCAAAAGCTGACATGAGGAGTGGGCCTCCTTGCCAGCCTATACTTTAGGACAGGTACAGAGAGATGGTTTCTCTGTTTCCTCTTTGGCAGTTTTGTGGACCTCTAATCTTTTTCCCCATTCCCAGAGTTTATTTACAAGCTGCAGAGTGTTATATTGTCTTTTTATTCCATCCAGCTTCATGTAGCACTGACTGGGACTGACTGCACCTCAGGCATATGTTGGGTTCCAAGGTTTCAGTCCTGAGGCCTCTTAACAGAAGAGGATTTCAGAAGCTCATAGCTGAGGGGCCAGGGAGTGCAAGAGGCTGAGAAACTGGACGTGTAAACATTGAATATTGTTTGATGCAGGTAAAAGTTGCTTGGGTGCAAAAGTGAAGGAGGCTTGGAGGAAAGGAGCAGGGGTGTGGATGTTAGGAGAGGCATCGAGTTGAAGACGAGGCTAGGTATTTAAAAGGTTGAAGGAGGTGTACAGTTTGGAGAATGGTGAGTCTTCTGCAAGAAAACTGTCTTTCTTTGATACTGAATTAAATCTTTGTCAGCTTAGTGTTCTTGCTCACCTTGTTGCCTAAGAGCATTATGTACCAGAATGTGTATTTTCAACATCAGTTTGTTCAGATCAATCCAGTGGGAAATATAGATTTTAATTGTCTGAGTATCAAGATATTCACAGTACTGATGCCTCCAGTGATTCTACTGGCACTTTCTTACTTAGTTGAGTTGCTTTATAATTGTCTTTGTTATCAGCATGCCTTTGGAAGTTTTATATGTCCCATTTCAAGTAAGTAATAATGTCTCAGTGCTTCCAAAATGATTTCTCCTACTGTCAGCTATTGTGGGGAGCAGAGTAATCTTCTCAGAAAAGAACCAGTTTTGTATGTGCATAGTCATTGGCCTTGGTTTTCTTTATTTTTATTTTTTATTTATATTTTTCTTTTATTTATATTTTTTGTTTTCTTGCGTTTATATGCCATGTGAATTGAGAGGGTCAGGAGCAATTGTTTTAGTAGTGTCTCAGCATTGTAGGTGTTTCAGAGGTTCACTTGAGTGAAATATTTGTATTTATAAACTACTAGTTTTGTGTTACTACACAAAATATACAATTAAAATAGTCCCTCAGGAAATTGTGAGGCTGGAGTCAGTCGTGCACTGCAGTTATTACACCAAGTGTAATAGAGAATTGATTAGATTTGGGTACCTGGGTCTATCTCTTTAAGTCTGTCTCTTCTTCTGAAGGCTCTGGATGTCTGAGACCTGTAAGGAAAACTTTATCTTCAGCCTCTTGGGCACACACCCGAGGCATGAACTCTCCTCCATTATTTTGTCATGGACCTCCATGTGGGTAGATGGAATATAGGAAAATAGAGATAGTGATGAAGGTAAAGAAGTTACAGCTGCGCTAATTATCAAGAATTAGGAACAGTCCTACCTTTAATAGGCCACAGCTAGATCTAATTAGAATGGGTGTTGTAAAAGAGCAAGTTAGCTGGTTGAGGAGTTAGATGGAGTTTGTTGGCTGTGCTGTGAGGAAGAAGGAGTCCGTGCTGTGAGGAGCTGCGCATAAGAAATCACTGAGAAGGTATGGAGCTTTTGCAGAAAGATAACGACACCTCCAGTCTGGCTTTATTAGGCCTCCCAGGAATGGTGACCTTACAGATAGTTGCTCACAGTTTGCAAGTGGTAGGTGTTCAGGTGCAGCTGTTTGACTTTTTAAGGGGAATCTGGTGGTTGTGGTAAAAGAGAGGATTGGCAGCACTTGAGAGGTATCCGAGAGCCTTCGTATTCCTGCATTTTCTTCTCATACTCTCAGTGTTGTTTTTTTATTATACTTAATGTTATTACCATTCTATAAAAACATTGCAACTGCTTTCTTGTAATTATAGAGGGAGTTGTACATTTTTAATGGAGTTTGATGTTTTTTCCATACAAATACATGGAGCACTTTTTTTCCTCAGGTTATGAACGTTACTCTTACTTGAATCAATACATTTCTACTGTTAAATATGTCAGCGTGTCTGTTTTAGCAAAGAAATGCCACCTTATGAAGCCATAAAATACAGTGAACTGAAAGCTGACACCTAATATACTTTTCATTGGAGACAGATGTTCAATGCAAAACTCATTCTTTCAGATTTCATAAAGGCAAATAGAACTCAAATAATCTAGTTTCGTGTACAGTATGCAGTGACCAAACTGCTAATGCAATTCAGCTCTTAAAATAATATAAATATATTGTTAAGTAGCAGAAGAAGATGACCAATTTTTTTGTATCTTTGTAAAAAGAAAATATCCTTAATAAGTTTTAAGGGCTTTATAACATTCCATTATTATGAAATTATGAATCTATAAATCACAGGACAGAAGAGATATGTAGAACGTGGGGGGTTTTTTGGTTTGTCTTTGTGAAAAAAATTATGTGTTGCAAATCAAAATAAAAAATTTTAGTCTGTTAAAGATACTTGAAATAAATTTTTTAGAAGAGAAGGAGAGTATTATAAAAAGTAATACTCAAGCAGTTCCTGAAGCATAGTTATTTTTAAAATTTAGCTTTCTAAGTGGCTTTAGAGCATTTTATAAAAAATTGATGGGGAAAATATGTAGGCTAGAATGGTGGCAAAGTCTTTTGAGATGCTGAGCTGTTCAGTTTTTTAGTGTCTGGGCTATTATAGTTTCATCCCTGGCTTCATTTAATCTGGAGATATGGCAAAAATATTATCAGTTAGGCATATGCTAACTCTGCATGTCTGCAGTGCTACTGCTGCTCTTTTGCCTGGAGAAGTCATTTATGCCTACAGGAGCTATAAAGTGGGCTACATGGCAAATAGAATTAAGTGGGAATAAAAAAAGGGAAAATCTTCATGTTAAAAAGATATTTGTGAAGTAAAATGTGTTTGAAAAAAAACCAAGTTGAGCTTCAATGAAAAACAGAAGTGTGCTGTATCTGAAGATGCTTTGCTGCAACAATCTTTATCGATTTTATCTGAACTTACCAAACTGAAAAGACTCACATTTTGGATTTTGCCCAAAAGATGCTAAAGTATCTCAAAGTTTTCAGACAAGGGCCTAGAGAAATCAGCTTTCTGATAGCATTTTAAAATCATACTGCTTTATAATGCTGCTATCTTCAGTATTGTGACGTGGAGCATCAGGTTACAACGTATCAGCAAGAAGTTCAGTACCAATGCATATACTTCATTTTTGTTACTTTTGAATGTTATTTTTTCCCCTCTCTTCTTAGCAAAAAGATATGGGTAAGCTTTACTTTTCCTATTTTGTTTGACAAAAAATTGCAATGAACCTGTTCTAAACAGATTAATATTTTCAGTTTCCAGACATCTCATGGAAGCAGGAGTGGACGTGGATGGGATGAGGAACCAGTCTCACTTCAGTTTTTAAATATTCTTCTTTTTTGGCACATTAAACTATTGTTGCTAATGCATGCTGTGTAACAGCCTATGAAAAATGAGTTAGTAGTGTTATTTCCTAAATGGCATATTTAAATACCAGAGGGGAAAAAATGCTGCCATAATTGGAAGAACAAGCATTATTCCTTGATGCTCTCTTGGTATGAGTGGAAGTTAAAAGAGCTGAAAAATACAGTGGCTTGTCAACATAGTGTCCAAAGTAAAGGGAAATTTTTCAGTAGAAATGTGAAAATGATAAACCTTCAATGGGAAATAGGAATATTTTTTACTAAAAATTATGTTAAGATCCTAGAAGTTTAGTCTAGGATGGTAAATAATTCCCTTCCCATCTGGGGTCAGCAGGCAATCTCATCGTGGAGCGTGTGATCTCCTCTTCCAGGGGGATGTAATTACATTGTTATCTGAGGTTGTCTGGCCTGCTGTAGAAGAGAGGACAGTTCCTGGCAGCTGAAGTATTGTCATATAGTGTGATGCAAGAATTGATGTATTTTAAAAGCAGAGTATTTTAGGTTTGTTCTTTTAGTGAGAATTTTGATCTGTGTGGCAAGTGGGTTTATAACATGAAATTTTTCTCTCTGTTATTTTGTTATGTACCTAACTTTACTTCTGAAAAAGAACGTTTGTAGGAGCATGGCAGTCACTGTATTGTCTACTTCTTGCAGGATCAAGACTTAAGAGTCTACTAAAAATATACCACCCTTTCTTTTTGGACATGGTTTTCTACTTCTGTTACAAAATCAACTCTTAGCAATTCATGCTATAACTACACATGCACACTGGTGTAAACCATTTCCCTGCTGTACTCTCTCTTTTAAAACATTATGTTAAAAGCACTGGATCTTCATAAGCAAAGTGAAATACACGGGGTTGGATATGCTAGAACTATTTTTCAAATATCACATGCCTTCCCAAAGAAAGCATGGGATTCTTTTCCTAATTTGCTGTGTATCTACCAGTAAAGTAGTACAGAGGTTATTCATAAAATATTCCAAGTAATGCAAGTTTTTCAGTTAAAGGTTTTTGAGTTTGTTTTTTTTTTTTAATTTCTCTTTTTACACAAATGCAGTCTATACCATTGCATGCTTTCTGCCATGTTAACTTTCTGTTTGATGTTCAGGTAGAGAAATAACAGCAGAAACCTTTATGGAGAAATTGGATAATGGTGCCTTGCTTTGCCGGTTAGCTGAGACCCTGCAGGAGAAATTTAAAGAAAACAGCTTTGATGCAAACAAGCCTGGCAAAGTAAGTGTTGGTCAACACTCTAGCATTTGATATCAGTATCTGATGTATCTGACCATTTTGGTACTGAGGGTTTTTTAAACAGTTAAGAGGTTTTATGTGTGGAGATTCTGCAAATGGATGGGAAGGTAATTGCTCTGTGTAGAAAAATTGCAATATGAAATTGATGGAAATAATGTTTACGCGGTATTTATTTAAGTATCTATATAAAGCAGTTACTCAAAAAGTACTTGTAATATGTGGAGAATAAGAATAAACCAGATCTAGCAGTGGGATGTGGTAGGCAATAGCGAAAATATGATCCTTGTATTTATTTTCAAGGGGAATATTAAGTAGCTGTGGGAGGTGTCTTCTCTAAGAACAGCTCTAGGGAGACCAATAATGAAATTCTATAGTTAGTTTTGGTGCCTTGAGTTTCAAGATCCTGTTGGTGTACTGGGAGGGGTTTCAGTAACGAGTCTAAGGAATTACATGGAAAATGTGAAACTCAGAAGATACTTAGGAGTTTTGGAAGGATCCATTTAAGAATTTGTTTGAACACAACCTTGCTTTAATTTAAACTGTTCGTGTGGGATAATCTTACTGGGAAACTTTCAAGAGTGCAGCAAGTTCATTGGAGAAGTAGAGCTAAGTGGTTGACACATTAAGACATACAGCGTCACACTGTTCTTTTTTTTTCTGGTTGCATTCAGGTACATCTTCCTTGACAGCTAAAACAGGCAAATAAAGATCAGGTAAAAAAGAGGCTAAGAACAGAAATCACATAATGCATTTTGTGCTCTTGATGTTTCATAACCTGTGTGTGGCAGAAATTAGGGCATGGCATAAATTTTATCAGCTGGTCTGAGAACTGACAGTCTTGTGTAAGTTGTTATTTTTGGTTCCAAGTTCATAATTGTTGTTGCAGAAGAAATTTTCTGTCATATTTCCTAGTCTGAATTATAATCAGATCTTCCTTAGTAGAAGTATTGGGTGGCTTTGGAGTACCTCTTCATAATATAGTCCAGCTTGTCTTCACCTAAGTGTCATGGTAGTTTTCAAGTGAGAAAACACATAGGGCAGTCTTCTTGATTGAGCCTAGGAACTAGCTAGGCAGAAGGAAGAGTTACTTGTACTGTTTTTTGTGTTCTAAGTTACATTAGAAGGCAATTAGACATTTGCAGTCCCATATGTGGTCATTATTTAGATTTGTTGGTCTTTATTTATCAGGCTGGTACAACTGACAATGCATTTAAAGGGAAAAAAATCTACCTCATTGCTATTTTCTCAATGTATGTTATATTCAAACTTAGTAAGAATTCAAAGAAATGGCAGAATAACATATTTGTATCGTTGTATACTATTAGGGAGCTGCTCATCCTTTCAGATTTTAATTCCCTGTATAGCACTCTTGGGCAATCTGACTTTGTGGTTTCATTTATGAAGAGATAATACTGTATGAAATTTAGCGCAGAAAGAATTCCACAATCCTCCCCTGAATAATTTTTATGCATTTCATTAATAATATATGTGGAATTTTGAAGCCATTTGACCCTTGCTCTGCACAGGATAACAGAAACATGTTCTTTCACTGAGGTACCCTGATGGCTTTACTGGCAGCTGGGAGAAGCCACTGATTTCTATTGAGTTTTGAGCCTCTGTCAAAACAGATAACAGACTTTGCTGTCCCTATATGCAACTTTGAATTTTTCTAGATAGAAGCAGCTGATATAAAATGAGCCAGAGGGATCAGTGTGCTTGCTGCACCAGCTTGCATCTGAGTGAGGAATTCATGATAAGGATGTGGTTAATGGAGGGAGTGTGTGTCATCTTAACTGAGGCCTTCCACAAGCTTGTAGATCTGGTCTGTTTTCATAAGCAAAGTTTTACCTTCTGTGTGAACTTCTTCCTATGGAAAAGCTTCATATAATATTTTGGGGTTAGTTTTGTCTTAAAGAAAGATGATATATCCTGCTCTGATTGATATGTAGTACTGATCATGAATTCATTGTGAAACTCTTTGGGGCTGCTAGTTTAGAAACAATAGCAACAGATTTAAGAAGAAATTAAAACCTAATATTACATGCACTGACTCATCAGTTTTTTGCCATAATTCCCTAAATTCATATTGCAATACTCTACAAAATAGCAGAGGTTAAATCCTGTTGCTTCTGATTTAATAGCTTGTGCAATAAGTTGCAAGTCAAGGTCAGTTTTGCAGTTTGTTTGTTAACTGAACTGTATCATTCCCTTTCTTATTAGTGAGCATTGACTTTCCTTCAGATTTTAGGAATCCCCTAGGCCAGCATCAGCTATTTTGAGTGTGGAGTAAATGGGGAAAACAGACGTCAAAGAAGTTCCCAAAATATTGTGTTTTCCAAATCTGGAAGGAAGATTGTCATGCTGATATCAACACTTCCTTCTTTTGTCATGTGGAAACACTTGTGGATACTGGGGACATTTTCAAAATACATAGGAAACTACTGGTAATGTGACTTCAGGGATAGAGCTTTAAGAGACTGAAGAGGAGATTAAATGGATTGTGATGAAGAACTAGTCTTCTTTCCTTAAGAGTCAGAGGCAGGCAAAAAAGGCATAACTATTTATGCATGAAGGAAATAATGGAGTTGCTTTTTATGAGTGACTGGTTAGGTTAGGATGCTTGAGTGTAGAAAGGGGGGGGCATGTGATGGAAGTTGCAAAATCAGGAATGGTGTGGTAAATGGTCAGTTTCTATACAAAAACTATGGGACATGGTGGAAGCCAAACAAGGAAAAGGGGGACCTTGCTTACATACAAGTTGGAAAATTCTTGTCAGGGAGTTTTTAAATGGAATAAATTTAAAAGTAAATACTGAATAAGGTATTGGAAGCGAGATCTTTTGGAAGGCTGCATACACAGAAACCCCGCCCAGAAGAGGAAGTCTCTATAGCTGAAAAGTATTAGAACTGGAGAAAGTAGAAGGGTCACTCATAGGTTCTGTTATTGTTTCTTGGGGATGAATACCCTGCTGGTTGTGCCAGTGGACAAAGGGAAAGCAATCACAGGAGTCAAACTTCAAAGAAATTAAAATTATATTTGGATTTTTTTGTTTCTGTGGAGAGCCTTTTTAGGACTGAATCCCTGCGTCTAAAAATACCGCCTGGGCCACACTCCACTTTGATATTTGTTTTTCAGGAGGGTGATGTTGAACCTAGAGTGCAGGAGTTTGGCAGCCTCTGGTGCTGTTTAGGCAGCCTCTGCACGTTGCTATTGTGAGCTTAATGCCATAATAAGCACCTTTGGATATCATAATACTCTGTGCCTTCCATGACTCTAGCTACTTTGCTGTTTGATTGGTTAATATTCAGTAAGAAGATACTAAAAGCATTTCAGCTCCTAAAGAGGAAGCATTTAAAAATTCTTCATTTCAGAAGATGTTAGGTCCCAGGATTCTTTTGCAAATCCCAGAAGACAATGTTCTTCATTGTTAAGCAGCTAAACCATGCTTCAAAACCTGATGATTCTGAAAGCATTGATGTTGTATCTGATCCTTTGCTACAAACAGACAAAATTTTTGAGTCTTAGATTAAAATGGATTTTTTAAACAGAGAGCGTGGTGTAACTATATAAGATATTTTCTAAGTCATTTTTTTCCTCTTTCTGGAGATTTTTAGAGTCCTAAATCTTATAATGTACATTTATAAAATACAAGGAGATGACTAGCAGCAATCTTAATAAATGCTCAAGATTTGTATAATAGTAAGTCGTTGAAACTACCTGTACTGGTGTTAGTGGAGTACTGTCTTGAAACTACAGGCTTATTATTATAGCAGCAGCTATTCCATGAGAGTAATTAAAGTTGCACTATGCCATTTTGCAATTTTCTCCCATTGACTTGCATTTCGTCTCCACGGTCTCCTGTCAGTATTTTACTTTTCCTGACAGATAGTTAATTTGAGAATTTCACAGCTGTACAAATAAATCCAGAGCATCAAGACATGTGCAGTATGCATGAAGCCCACATTTGATTTGGTTTGGCTTAGTTTAGTAAGACCAGTAATAAAGATTTAAAAATAAACATAAATAAACCGTGTTGATTGTTGTTACCATTTTTGTCAGCAGGGCACAGTAGTATGCCCACCAGCCTTGAAGCTGCTGATATATTTACAAACACTCCACTTTAAACAATGTTTTCATGAGGGAGGTTGAAGGCAAATTATCTTTGAGAGTCATGTTATGCATTTTAAGAATTACAATTAAAAGAATCTGTACCAATTATTCAGAATTAGATCTGGAATCTGGATCTTGCTCTTAGACCCCAGATGGCCAAGCTGAAAGTCAGATCTAATCAACATGGTGGTTTTATTTATACTGTAGGCTTCAGTTTCTCAAGATTATCTGTGTCCTGTAGATGGGATGAATAGATGGCATTCTGTAAGTTTGGTGCCTTGAGCCTGTCTGCCCGGTGTAAAGAGACATCAGCTGCATCAGTGATGTCAGGTTCAGGTCCCCTCTGTAAGTCAGAAATCTGACTCTCCAGTTGAGAATTTCATGAATAGGGCTGCATCAATTGTTAGGATATGAACAGATCCTTTATGGTCTGGAGCAGCAATTTGCTTTTCTGCACACTTGTACTTTCTGGACTTATTTTGCAATAAAAGCTCATGGAGCCAACTTCTAATCATATGCATGATAGATATGACTCTCAGTTACTTGGGAGGATTAAAAAAACTACAGCATTGTCTTTTTGTGTATTAATCTTTCTAGCGGCAGACTGATGTGGATGTGAGAGGGAAAGAATGATCTTGCAAAATGATTCACAGTGCTGATCCATCTAGAAGGAATAATTTCCGCAAGACTGTAAAGCTGCTTGTTAGAGAACTCTTTGTATGTTTCTCAGACGTGTCAACAGCTTGCTCGTTCAACTGGGCTGCTGCCAGGTTTCTTGCAGATATTGCAGGATTTGTCTGCAGTAGGTCACATGCACAAACGTTCTGTGCCTCAGCAAATACTCCTACAACTGAAGTTTTTGCTTGCAGGAG